TTTGCGAATTCAAAAAAAGACAACAACAACAACAACGACGACGACGACGACGACAACAACAACAACGACGACGACGACGACAACAACAACAACAAGAACACTCACTGAGTCTGTACTGACCCAACTGTTACCATTGGTTACTAGGCTGTACTTGACTGGCCCTGGCCTGTACAGCTGTGACTTTTGAATGTTTATAATTATTATATGTGAGGCTGGCCTGCTGCACTGGCAACTCAGTTACCATGGTTACTGCTGAGTGCTGTGTACGTGTGCCGTGTGGCCATATTCATAAGATCTACCCCTGAGCGAGTGGGTACTACCGGGTACCGGATCGCGTGCATGCAGACAACGACCCGACCCGTAGATCTACATGCAGTGGTCCGTCATGGGCCTGGGCCGGGGTAGAGCACATGCGCCAGGCATGCACACGACTCAGCTGATCAGGCAGCCTCGACGCATGAATCGAATACAATCATTGACATTGTACACATATGTGCGGCCGGCAAGACACGACGGGAACCTGATTGACGGGTTCACAGCTTTCATGGGACTTGTCATTGGACTTGTGTTTCTTGTTCTGTTGTGGGAGCTGCACAAAAAGTGCAAGGGTGAAGCGCCATCTCTGCAACGCATAGAGCGGCACACTGGACTTCGCGTTGTGCTCACCCACTTCATTCTTCAGTGACCTCAGTGCTCAGAGCAGACTCTGTGTGCGGGTGTGGGTTCATGGATGTCAACACGCCAGTTCTGGGTACGGACTCGCTCAGTGTATCAATAAGAAAGCCGTTATCACCTGAAAACGTGAAACTCATGAAACTATGAAAAGCTACGTCGTTGGACTTTTTTAGCTCGTCCGCAACCCGCCTGATGCAAGTGGCGGATATCAACATGCAGCTAGCACTATCGACTACGTAAGTCATTGTACACGTAAATGTAGATCTCGAAGTCGAAATGAAAATGATTCATGTCACCTTTGTCACACGGCACGGACATGTCGACAACGCTCGAGCGCAATAATCTTGATTTGATCCACTCCGCGAACCGCGATCGACCTGCACTCTGCATGTGACTCACGTAGACCATGGTAGACCTGGTAGACGTAAACTGTTATGTTTGTAGTCGAGTCGTAGATTCGATAGTCCGTCTCTAGCTCTGCATACACACTCACCCAGGTCCTCGCTACGTGCACCTGGTTCTCTAACTACAATCATACTACCCCAGGCTACCTAAGTCCTTCTGCGTTCTGTGGTCTGTGACTGTGTGACTGACTGTGTGCTGAGTACTTGTGTGAGCACGACGGATCAGACTGCGCTAGAGCTATCTACCTATCGCTCAACACGGAGTACAGGAGTCAGTCAGTAGTGCATCGAAGTCTATCTATCGCTCCAGGCCTGCTTGCGCTCATAATATTTTTTAGTACTCTTGCCTTGGACGCCGTGCGTGCACATTCTTTCGTGTTTCACTCTACTAGTACTACTAGTACTACTGCATAAACTAGGAGTGCAGTGCAGCGTTGTTGATCTCTGCCGTGTTCATGTTAGATCGACTGAGTACTGAACCGACTGTACTGTCTGTAGATCTGCATGTAGGTCAATCTTGGCGTTTCGTGTCAACAGCGCGCTTCTGCGACTGTTTCCCTCCACGCGCACGGCGCTTGTTCTCACGACAGTGTGCATGCGTCTGGGCGACGAACGGGGAATTAATTAAACTGAGTGAGCTGAAGCTGCTTCTCCGCCGAACAGGAGAACGAAACGAGAAGGCGAAATGGCCAAATCATCGCCCGTTATGGTCCAGGGTAAGGGAAAGTGATTGATGTGTTCGTGGCTGACCGCGGCGGAGTACGTGTGGGAAATGCGCTGCGCAAGTAACAATGTTCGTTTAGTTTGGGAGATTGTTTTTGACTTGAGTATGGGGAAATATGGTGACGCTTCCTTTCACGGTACAGAGTTTGAGACGCTGCAGAGGGATAAGCGTGTCTCGCCAATCTCGCCAATTGCTTGAGCAAGTCGAGTTGTCAGAGTTGTTCTTCAAACCTCCGCTGGCTGCGCGCATGCTATGCGGAAGGAAGGTGGCCACGACCGCCACAGCATCACAGCTAACTATTACTTGTTCGTGTTAGATTTTTCTATGATGCCTGATTGTACGTAAGATTTGGGCTTGGCGTGTTGTAGCGGTTCTCGATGGATGTGTATTGTGTCCTGCGTACTCGTGTTCTCCGTTCAGCTTGTTGTTGATGTTGTTGCGACGACCAGCGTACCTTCGCCGCTCGCTGGACGCATCACCCTTGTCTAGATGGAATCACGATATTGCAGCGCTTGTAGTTGTAGATCTACAATCCACCATTCGGTAAAATGTTCTGCGATACGTGCATACTAGTACTCAGCTGATGTGCTGGTGAACGTTCAGCTGAGTGTGTGGAGAAGATCGACATTTCGAGGAGAGTCACTATCGAGTATCTTGGTCATTCGTAATCTTTCGAAAGACCTGTGGAGTGTTGCGCGCACGCTGGACGGGAAGGAGCGGACGCTTGTGATGTGAGATTGGGGCTAGGTCGGCGCTCCCCAGCCTCGCGAAGAGGAATGCTCCACCGACACAGCGACAGGGAGGGGAAAGGTGTGGAATGCTGCTTGACGAATGCGTAGATCGCCTCCTAGTTCAGCAGTTGATCCTGGTTGTGCACAACGTCGCTTCGTGTGCAGTCTTTGTTCAGTACTCTCAACTCACTCACTGGCGACTGCTACATTGTAGTACTGTACATGTAGTGGGAAAGGTCTTTCTAAATTCTGTCGTTCTGTCAATCAAAGTTCGACCGCGACGCCACTTGTTTTGACGGGATCAACCCGAAACGGGTCTGTGTTTCATACGACATATAAGCAGACATTACCAGCCGAGCTAGGGCAGCGCAGATTCGATGGTGTTTAGAAGGCACGCAGTGCAGGGCAAACTCTCCCGAGCTAGCTCGAATCCTCACTCCGCTCCCGTTGCCCAGGCTAGGTCATGACGAGGTTGGTGGCGACCTTCACTTCAGGCTTCAAACAGCGTAGTGCCTTGTCCGAAGATCTAGTACCACGCGAGAATCATGTCAGTTGTCGCCCGCTTGTCAAACGTTTGGAAGACTCATGCTAGCTACTGTACACTTTGTCTTTGCTGGCTCGCAACTCCATAAACTCCATTCAATACGAAAACAAACATCTAAAGAATCATGCTTTTATTTCGTAGATAATGTAAATGTACTAGCAAACCGACTCTTTCGGTCTTTGGGCGGCGTTCCAGTGGCTAGGAGTAGTTGTGATTCGTGGCGAGAAGGTAGACAGGCTTTGTGATCGCGCTCCCAGATTCGAGCTAGATTCAAGTATTGGTTTGTTTTAGACTTTCTGTGGAACGACTTGCTTGCCTTACCCTACCCTGCAGTAGAGTGCGGGTGTGACACCCATTCGCACCGTACTCTAGCTGATGGTTTAGGACCTAGGTGCGATGTCGGCTACTTCTGAACGAGCAACAGAGTCAGTAGACCTTACACACTGTCATGAGGAATACGTGTGTTTCGAAATAGCGGATCCACTGCATGCATGCACTGACTGCGATGTCGTTCCTCTTTATTCTCGATGAACATTTTGATGGCGAACTCCGGCTGCGGACGATAGCTTTTCTTTCAAAAATGTCGACGTATTGCACGAGTCATGTTGACAAGCTGGACGGACAGTTCCCCCGATTTCAGTGATAGGCGCGGGATTTGATATCCACTCCAAACTGGGCTCATCGTCGACATCGAGGCCGCGAGTTCCGGGGGTGTCACACATACACATCCCGAATATTTTATTATGTTACGGAGCAGCCTTTTGCACAGACTGTACGCGTCCGATATTCAGCGCTACATCATCAGTACAGTAGTACGGTCAGTAGTAGATCTACAATCATACGCCGCCTGCGATTCAGGACTAGTCGACTGGCGCGTTGGTGTTGTGTGGCCGTGGCAGAACGTGACAGCACACCTGTGTCTGTGTCAGTGGAAATGTCAGTTGTGAATGGGAGCACAATACTACCAATAGCAATGCTGCTGATTAGTACGCAGACTGACAGACTGAACACGCTCCCAATCAGAATACTGCTGAGTATTATGTAATTCATTGGGAAATACATGACATTGTCCAGTGTGTAGAATTGTGCAACAAATCGAATATTGATTATTTGCATGCATCATAACTTTAGGAAGTCAGTGTATGAACATGTGGCAGTGTGTGTGCAAAGTGTACAGATGGTCCCTTTGTATTAGTACTAGCACCAATTGAGTGATCATGTGGGCAAGGCGTTAGTATTGAGACATTTTGTTTGGGGGCGAGCAGGTACTGCCTCCTGGAGCAGTCACCCAGCAGTCCCCCACAGGCCAACAATGGGGTTTCATTGTGGCACAATCTCCTGCAGCCTTTACTAATCTCCCTGGTCAGAGACTGAGCAGCCATCAGGCTGGCTCATTGTGTAACAATATGTAGCAATGAGTAGCATGGTAGAGGTACATGGCTTGCACTGTGGAAAGTCACTGGAGTGCGTAATAGGTGATAGAACAGTGATGACATTGACAGAAGCTGACTGTGTCAGGTACTAGAGGTAGCTGGGCCCCTAGTGCCTCACTCTCAGGGGCAGATCCAGGAGGGGTTCCGGGGCTAAATTTCGTAAATGATTATTATGTACTACTGGCAACCATACGCGTGTCCGTGTGCATGTATCAGCTATTCAGTTTTGACTATACTGGAACCCCTCTGTAGAGATCGCTGGATCCGCCGCTGACTCTCACAGGTACCCAGTGCCTCCAATATACAAATCGTAATTCATTGGCTTGAACCCAAAGCAAACTGATGTTGGACTCAATTGTTCAATACATTGCCTCCTGTAGGTCTTGTAAAATAACTACTTCCTTTGGATGGAAACAGTTAGCTACAGTTGGTCGTTCATGAACATCTGAAATATAATGTCCCATGTTCGTTTTATCTTGTGCTTTACAGAGGAGGACCCAGCAGATGAACTGGTTAGGTTGCGATCAGAGAATGCAGGCCTGAAGAAGAGAGTTGAGGAGCTTGTGAGTGCTCAAACATTATTATCAAGTTGCATACCCAGTATGTATTGGTTGTGTGGGTGGACGTGCATGGTTGAGGTGTGTATGAGTGTGACCCAGCAGTACGTCAATGCCGCAGTGTCCACGTATGCTCTTGTGTGTGTGTGTGTGTGTGTGTGCGCGCGCACGCGAGTGCGTGTGCGCGAGTGCGTGTGTGTTCACATTAAATTATAGTTTGTTGGCTGTGGTTGCTTTCATTCACCGACGTTTACTTATGAGACTGTGCGCGTATCATGTATCTTAGACACCATGCATGGAACAGCGGAACATGTGTACCACTACCCTGCCTAACACTACATGTACATGTATGTAGTAGAAGCGGGATTTCCCCATTTCTGTCATAGTACTAGTATTGATAACTGTATGTGTACTGTAGTAAGTAGCAAGAGCAACCATGGAGACAAAGGTCTGGGTCATATTTTGCAACAGTGGCTAGCTTATCAGACACAGTCAAAACCAATACTAGCACCGTAAAGTACCGCCAGAGCGCCCCATTATCTCGTCCTTTCGTGGTCGTCTTGAGAAGGTGGTTTCCTGTCTGTAGGTCATACGACACGAACCTTTCACAAACATTTCACGTTGTGCAGGCAATCCGTACCCAGTTTACCTTTGAGGGGATGCGAGCTCCACGTATAAACATGCCAAGTGTCACCTAAGTACACTAAGGTTCTCACACCGTACAAACTTAGTAGCACTCTGCCTTAGGATTTCCTTCCCTTGGCTGTAAAATCAAGGTGGGGCGCTCTGGCGGTGCTTTACGGTACATGTAGTGCAGGGTCAATGGCATCACTCGAAGTATCAATAATGTCATTACTCGTATCACCGGTATTCTGAGCCACTGTACTAAAAGTTCACGGTGACATGAAAACTCTTCGGCCGATACTCTGTAACGTTTCTGCTTCCTTGTTCATCGTGTAGGAGAAGGAAGTCGAGTCATCCAAGGCCAAGAAGAGAGGAGGATTCTTCACTCGCAAGAAGAAGGCATCCACGACTGACGGTAAGTCAGTGTGACGGCCGTTCATTGGTCAGCGGCTTGGTACGAGTACATTTATTCACCATGAAGATACATGCTTTCACGCTGTAACAAAACGTTATAATGTCGGGTGAAATCAGTCACTAAAAGCCCCTTTTAGATGGCAGTCCTGACTCCTGACTAACCCTTGCCTTGAAGCAGACTAGCATTAAGTTATCTCCTTATTCACCCCACACTGTTCACCACTCAAGGAGAGTTTGTTGACTTGGCATCAGGTTAGTTTTGGGATTGCTGGCCAAGTGGTAACAGAGGTCAAGCTGGCCTATGGCCAGGAGAATTCACCTTGTACAAGCCAGTTTCTGTTATGTTTCCCTCGTATTCCAGGAGACGCTGCGGCAGCACCGGCCGAGGCCACAGCTGCAACCCCCGAGGATGAAACGGCTCCAGCGGCGGATTCATCTCCTGAAGGCGTGAGTTACTTAGTTCTACTGCCTACCAGATTTTCCGGAGTATAAGCCGCACTGGAGTATAAGTCGCATTGGAGTATAAGTTGCTCCCCCGTTTATAATTATTTAGAAACAAAAACTAGTAATTTAGGGGGAGGGGGTTGAGCGCATGTTCGTTTCTCGAAAAAAAATGTCGATGTATAGTTTGTATGTCTGAGCACGTCCAGAAAAAAAGAAAAAAATCTCTACTATGCATGTACCATTTGTGTGTGTTTGTTTCTCTAGGGGGGAGTTGAAGAGAAATTACTCGTTTTCGTTTCTGCGGTTTCTACCCGTAAAATACAGTAATCTGTGATGTGCATTCGCCTCGTTTTGTCCCTAGGAGCAGCCTGCAGCTGCGGCAGCACCATCCGGAGGCGAGGAGCAATCACCGGACAAGAAGCGGAAAAGCGGCGGCATCAAGGACAAGCTAGGCAAGGCGTTCGGTCGCTTCCGTCAACCCAAAGGCTATGAAGAGACACCCACGGAACAACCAGAGGCCGATGCAGTTGCCACGCCGTTTGTGATTCCCGAGCGTCAACAAGTAGAGTGGACGGTGGCCAAGAGCTTTGAGAAGGAGGAGGCACCAGCACCGGAGTAAGTCCTGTTGGAAACTTGAAATATCCGTACTGGGACTCTGGGCCGTGAAGCATTCTGCCAAACCGTGCACAGGAGTTGGTGGAGTTAGTGAGCACCTGTATCGGTGTCTGCATACCTGCCAAGCTGTATGTGTATACACTGTGGAACTGTCTAGTGGCTCTACACTACCAGCTCCCCTGCCCACAACGTACATGTACATATGGCCACTGGCTGTCTTACTGAATCTATCCACAGAGACTACAAAACTATGGCTAACCTTTTCTGCTGGGATTCTATACTCGTATGCATAAGTATATGTGATTCGGAATGTAGAAAATGTAGTAATGCGTGTCCGTGTGTGTCCGTGTTTGTGTGTGTGTGTGTGTGTATGTGTGTGTGTGTGTGTGTGTGTGTGTGTGTGTTTGTGCGGTGTAGAGAAGGAGCAGAAGGCGAAGCAGCAGCAGAGGGCGCCGAGCCAGCAAAGAGAGATGCCGTATTCAAGGTGAGTCCCAGCCGCCCCGCAGTATTGCTGGCGTCGTCTTTAGTTGCCACCCTGCAGTATTGCTGGCGTCGTCTTTAGTTTGGCTGCTTCTGTGCTCTGCTATGGAACCTTCAAGTGCAAGATTGCTAATCCTGAAATCTATTTACGCGTTTTTTTGTGATGTTCTGCACATGTATGTCTGTTGGATGTGGGCATGCATTTGTTTACCGGTATATAATTTGTATGCGTGCATGTCCACATGTGCGTGTGTGTGTGTGTGTGTGTTCACATTTCTCCACGCGCAGAACTGGACCGTGGAGCAAGTACGAGAATGGCTCATCGACCTTCAATTAGAATCATACACCGAGACGTGCCAACTGACCGGCGAACAAATGCTAGCGACTACCAATGCTCAATTTGAAAAGGTAATGCCGTAACCTTGGGTTGCAAAACTACTGTCACACGTGGTCCTGCACAAGACTAAATTGATAGTTTGATGCACAAGTTAGCAATGGAACGAGGCTAAACAATCTGTTCTTGCTCTGGAGAACAGAGGAACAGATTAACAAAACTGCACAGCCTCGTCCCATAGACGATTTGCCAAACTCCGGTCACGTGCCTGCACTGGCTGGCAGGAAACGTGCTGAGCAGGCCGGGGGGGGGATCTCATGTTCACGTGGATTGTAAATATCCACTGGTGAAAAAGCAAATTTGACCAAAGAACAAGCTTCACAGTTCTCAGAACATCATTTCTTCCCTGTCATCCTCAACAGTCAACACTACAGAGGAGATGATGGTCGGAGCTGCGTAATACAGCAATGCAGCATGAATCCTCGAGTAATAGAATATTGGAATAATCTGCCTGTCTTCGAATATTCTTTTTAGTGTCGGTATTCTAGAATATTCCGAATATGCGAATATTCTTTTGCATCACTGCATTGAACACATCAGGAAACACTTGTCACACTTTCGCAAGGTGTGACACCAAACAACTGCAACTATAACACCTTCCTCTTCTTCTACTTGAAATTGGTGCCCGATTGTGACAGTGCGAGAGAGTGTGGGTGGTGTGGGGTGTATGTGAATGTGTCTGTGCGCGCATCTGCAAATGTACACGTTATTGATCCTAAACTTACAAAGGCGAAACCGTTAACTGATTTCGTGTCTGTTGTGTTTCTTCTTCCAGGATCATGGAATCAAGAACCAAATGCACCGCAAGAAACTTAGACTAACTTTGAATGTACGTGTGCCGGTCTGGCTGTGTCCTCCTTGCTTCGTTAACATTGGAACATTTGCTAGTCTGAAGCAGCTGAATAGTATTGTTACCGTCTGACAGTCTGCATAACTGTGCACAGCTAGACTAGCATCACGTGAGCTGCTCTTGTCTCTCCGGCTGTGCATGATTTCTGCCAGTGTCCTACTGAAGCCGAGCATGTGGAAAAAAGATTGGGGTTTAGCACGTCAGCTAGCTTGGGGTAGTCTGAATTTTGGCAATGGTTACCCCCCCCCCCCCCCCCCCGGTACCGTGTCATCTGACTGTTACGTACACATCTAGCCAGCTCGGTCTGTTTGTTACGCCGGAGCCCTGATGATTGCCTTTTCCTTATGTGTGTTTGTTTGTGTGTGTGTGTGTACGCGTGCGTGCGTGTTCGGTGTGTGTGTGTGTGTGTGTGTGTGTGTGTGTGTGTGTGTGTGTGTGTGTGTGTGTGTGTGTGTGTAGGCCATCGCATCTGGCGAGGATATGCCCAGTGTGCTGTTTGACTGGGACATCAAGGCCGTAGCAGGTCAGTGCAGCGCGCTAGCTGCTAACCAGTAACCTAAGCGGTGGGGCAACTACTGACACCAAGAGTACATAACCCCCCAGAGTGTGCAACGCCTGATCCAGCTCTGTGTAGGGTCTTGGTCGAGCGGAATCGGATCTTCTGATGTCATGCGTACACTTCACACCAGCGCAAGGCCGGTCTCGAGGCAGGGCACCATTGTTTTTGATCCAAGAGTACCCGCGACTCCCCGGGTTCCCCTCAGATGTGTACGGTATTATGACGCAAAGATCCGATTCCGCTCGACCAAGACCCTACACAGAGCTGGATCAGGCGTTGCACACTCTGGGGGGTTATGTACTCTTGCTGACACATGCAGCATTATAGCCATGGATAGTCATCATAGCCATGGATAGTCATCATATGCATGGATAGTCATCATATGCATGGATAGTCATTATAGCCATGGATAGTCATTATGGCCATGGATAGTCATTATAGCCATGGAAGAGACAGCCAGTGTCTATAGTGTCAAGTGGGGGACTTGCACAATAACAAGTGCATCATATTCCTTATCTTGTCTGGATATCCCATCAACCTAACTTGATGCACGTTCTGATGTTTCTTGACACTCACAGAACTTCTCCAGTACAACGGAATGCCGCAGTACGTCATCGAAGCGTTCGTAGCCGACAGCGTAGACGGCCGAGTGCTCACCTTCCTGACCCCCGATGACTTGACCGCCATGAAGATCCTCACACCGTTTGTACAGTCAGCAATCAAGCGAGCGACTCAACTTCTTAGGTGGGTGCTGTGTTGAAACCCTGCTTGGACGTAATCTATTTTTGCCTCGTTTCAGTTTGTACGCAATGTAACCATGCAGCTCCCTGTGATGTGCTGACAGAATGTGTGTTCATGTTTTTCGTGTGTGTGTGTGTGTGTGTGTGTCTGTGTGTGTCTGTTGTGTGTGTATCTGTGTGTGTGCGTGCTTGTGCGTGTTTTTGCGTGGGTGTGCATGTCTACAGACAAAATAATTACACCAAGGACTACATGAAGGTGTACGTCGAGCCAGAGCAAGAGCCAGAGCCCGAGGAGCCGGCAGCCGAAGCCGCAGCCGAAGAGGCAGAAGCAGCACCAGCAGAGGCTGCAGCTGCAGAAAGTGCCGAGGCTGCACCAGCGGAGGCCGCAGCCGCCAGTGAGGACAAGCCAGCTGATGAAGGTAATTCTGCAGTGCCACTGTAGCTGACCTGGAGGTAACACACAACCTCAGTCAAACTCTGGAAGAAAGCCATCCACTGTCGCTATGCTGTCCACTTTTGCCGGTAACCGTAACGATCCATTCATACTGGGCGTCTGACATAACCGTTGGTACCATGGAGTGTGGACGTTATTGTAATTCAATACCGCACTACCTAACTGCATAAGTTACTGCCATGCTTCCCATCGATAGCACCAGTGCAGTGAAGGGAAATGAGCATTGCTATTTTGCTGCCTTCTACAGGTGAGAAGACCGAGGGAGACAAGGCAGAAGCAGGCGCAGCAGCTGAGGGTGGCGAAGACAAGGTAAGCTTGAGCGTGCGCACATTAGAAGCACTGTACCATCCTGAATGGAAGTCCGGAGTGTTGAACACTGGCGAACGCCACGCGACTTTTGACATCACGAGTTATTCTCTAGGACACGTACACATACAACATGGCATTAGAAAAATCCGTTTGTGGCTCTGAAAGTAAACACATTGGTCCAGATTTCCCTCACTACAACTATACTAACTGCTAGACTAGTTGCCATGGTGACTTGGGCCTCGAAACATGCTAAAAAATAGTAGCACTGGGCGCCTATGGGTAGTGGTGTGCTTTTTTCTTCTTTAAAATTCAAGCCTTGTTCTTTTTTTTGGTGCTGTTACATTATCACAGAACACAGTACCATACACGGTACATGCTATTCTGTTAGGGTTAAACACCGGGCCCTTCCCTAGCCTAGACGACGGTTACAATGGCCAACCGGACAACAAAGAAGTTGAGGCCAAAGAGAAAGATGTATTTTCCTTCCGCATGCTTATGTATGAAGTCACGTAATAGTTAGGAGTCAGGCCGCTACAGGAGCTGAGCATATCGAGAGACCGACGCGGGCCAGTAACTCGGCACCCAGGATGGGGCAGTGGACATCAGCGACCACGAAAACCCAGCGGAATGTGCGACGCAGGCCGAGGTTGAGCTCCAATGACCGTTGACCATGTGTAGTGATGACGCTGTTGCCGGCAGCTTGGAGAACATGAGCAGAGATAGAAACAGCAGGGGACGAGGACAGACACAAGGAGCGTGCAGCAGATGGCGGGAGGAGGCTGACGGCGGCGCCTGTGTCCACCAGGAAAGACAGGCCGGAGCGCTTGTCTTGGACGTGAAACAGCCGACCAGTGGCAGAGCAGCCAGTAACAGAGGTTGTACCTATTGACTGGCTGGGGCGTTTCCCGAGCTGTAGGAGCATGGCACACGGCAGGGGCGGGCAGCGGAGCCGTAACCGCCCTTCTGCATCTCGGTCATGGGATGGGGAGCGTGACTGGCTGGACTCATGATGGCGAGGTGAGGAGGCCCTATCCCTGCTGCGCTCGCGTGACCGTCTCTGTGCGGGGTGATGTGGTGAAGCGGTGAGAGCCTGCACTGTAGCCGCGAGTTGGGGACACCTGAATCCTCAACTCAGAAAGATCGTCACTGCACGCTGGCCTGGCAGAGGCACATGCAGTTGTACTAGCACTAAAAGTAACAACTGCGGACACGGTGGGGGCCGTAGATTCCACAACCTTATCAGCGATCGTGGCGAGCCCACTGAGATCTAGCGATGCGGGCGTTGAAGAGAGCACGAGCCGGACGGGAGCGGGCAAGCGCTGCACAAAGAGCTCCCAGAGGAGTGTTGCGTCCAGTTGCCGCTCACCTAGAAGCTGCTGCATGCGTCGGAGCATCTTGCTGGGCGGCTGTTTGCCCAGTTCGATGGTGCCCAAGAGCTCGCGCAAACGGGCTTGTTCGCTTTTTTTGTGTCCGTTGGACGAGCATCGCTTTCAGCACCGTGTAGGGTGTCTCAGCTGGCGGGGAGAGGAGCAACTCCCAGACCTCTCCGGCATACTGCGGCTCGAGGCTGTGCGGTACCACCTGAAACATCGTCCGCTGCGACGTGATGTGGCGCGTCGCGAACGCCTCCACCTGAGCGAACCAAATCTGGGGATCTGCAGCCCAGTGTTGGGGGGAGCTTGAGGTGGACAGCACCGGCACGATTGTCCGCTGCGGCGGGAACGTCGGCAGGGTAGACAGGGGGCGTCGCTGGAACTGACTTGTACTCCGGAACCTTCGGCGTTACCCATCAGAGGAAGACATACTTACGAGCGTTCGAGTGCTGTGGCGAAGTTAGATGTACGTTCGGGGTCACCAATTTAGTGTGTGTGGCAGATCACACTGCAGGCAACAACACGGAAGTCACTCACAGCGTGTGGTGTTTGGCAGGAGTGTTAGCATGCAAACAAAACTTTAGGAGAGGTGAGCGAATATCACCTTTCTACATTAGAGATGTATGCGAGAAATGCCTAACATCAACGGCTGTTGTAGTGTGTATTGGAACAAGTACTTAAGACTAAGTCAAACGCTACATCATCAAGGTAAGTCAGTGTGGAAGCACAAAAAGGTGAGGCAGGTACTACTATGCACATGATAGTCAGGTGAAAGTATGGCGTACGTGTGCACAAACATGCCGTGCGTGGTACCTGCCACACCACCACACTCCATTATTCACCCCAGTGTCTGGAGATATGTGGATTTTGTAGAGAAGAAAAAAACCCTGGAAGGTCATGTGTGATGCTACACGTTACGTATAATGTAGGTAGTGATGTCAGAGAGACGCTACAGAGCTAAATGAAAATGTATGCGTGCACTTTGGGTGATCTCTAGCCTGGACCGACTAGCATGGCAGCATGATCAACAGGGTCATAGCGTGATGATCTTGTGACATCTGTTGCAGATGTACTTAACCAATGTCTTCTGCTTTTTTATTTTGTCTAGCCACAAGAAGAAGCCGCCGCGCCGGCTGAGAAAACCGAGGCAGAGGTTAAGGCCGAAGAGGATGCACGTGCAGCAGAGGAGGCCAAGAAGAAGGACGAGGAAGAGCGAAGGAAGCAGGAGGCTGCCAAGGAGAGGCAGAGACGGCACTACCTGCGCTGCGCCGAGGCTCTTGTGAGTAGAAATTCTGCGTGTGTGCGCATGCGTGTGTGTGGTGTGTGTGCACGCGCGTGTGTGGTGTCCTGGTCCTAGCCTAGTTTGCTTAACACTTATCGCTAGAACCTCATCGGCTAGCTAGACTGGTCAGTAACTACAATCTTACATTTCCTCACGGAGAACAGCTATTGTTACACTTAAAACACCATGCTGGTGGGTTTCGGTGGACAGTGTAAAATTTCCAGTTTAATTACTATATGCTCCTGCTCACCCATCATGTTCGTGTAACTGTCCGACTCTACCCCGGTGCACAGAGAGAGCAGAAGCCGCTGCTGACGTGGAGCAACTGCGATGTGGTCGTGTGGGCGCGGTCCGTGGAGCTTGTCGACCTCTCACCCAAGATCCTCGGCACTGGCTTGTCCGGAGCACTCATGGTAAGCTGTTGACCCAATGCAGCCAATGCAGTCATCTTTGTATCAACAATGTGCAATACGGGACTGCTACGAAGGTTGAGATAAATGCTTAGGGGTAACTGATGAGAAACTTGCAAAGCCTGTCCAAATAACATGTTCATGTATTCGACTATCAAGTGGCTCTATCTTCTGTTTGAGTTGGAAATGGCATCCAGTAATTCTCTCTTTAACTGAGTCTCTCTCTCTCTCTCTCTCTCTCTCTCTCTCCCCCTATTAGCAATCTTCACTTGTGCCCTAAGTCTCTGCTGTGGTTCACACACACACTCTTCTATGGTGTATTTCCACAGGTGTTGGACACGTGCTTCACCGGTGAATCTCTCTGCTCGGTTTTGGGCATTCCTGCCAAGAGCGCCCAGAAGGCCGACATCATTGCCAAGTTCAACGAGCTCGTCGGCGAGGAGGTTGTAGGAGAGAAGACGGAGGCTAGCAAGTGTGATGGCTATGCCGTGCTGATTGCCGGCCAGAAGGCCAAGGTGAGTCACGTTATAATCATACTGGGAGTAGGCAGTTGTGTACATGTCTGATCTGACATATTTATTATGTCAGTATGATACGCTGGGATGATTTACTTTGGCAGTGGACCACCACATGAGTATATGTAGTGCAATAATGTTTTAGATCTAGTCATGACGAGGTGTGTGTGCTTGTCCGTGGGAATGTGTGTGTGTACGTATCTGTTTGCAGCGCAAGCGTAGCCTCTCCTTCAGCGGTGCCATCCGCCGCCGTAACCGCAATGCCAATGCGGCCGCTCCTCAGCAGCACGTGAGTTGTTTTTGCCATGTCCATCACCATCCTTACGTGGTATTCCTTGTAACATACCGACAAGGCGTGGATACATGTGAATATTAGATTTCCAGTGTATGGTTACTGCTTCTTGAAAGATCTTGTGTGCTATTTTGTCTTCTTGCTGTGCGCTCCTACACACTCACTACTGGTGAAGCTGGACCCGTTTGTCCTGGTTGGAGGTGTCTGCTTTTGCTGCTGACATCATCTTGTTTCCTCCCATGTGCATCGTGCCTCTGTTCTTGCAGAGTCAGTTCCTGCTGACGTTCGAGGACGGATCCGAGGTGTTTGTCTCGGCCCACAACACCGACTGCAGCACACCCAAGCCTGCACCAGTACCGGAGCCTGCCAAGGCCGAGGAGCCCAAGGAGGCTGCTGCAGAGGGTGCTGCTGCCGCTGAGGCTACTCCTGAAAATGGCGAAGCCACTGCGGAGGCTAAGGAAGATGCTTCTCCAGCTGGTAAGTCTAGATTATGCATGTACTAGCAAACACTTCATAGTTTGGTCAGACATTTTGTTTTTACCAGAGAGGGGTTTTGTTTGGCATGGCAGTACTATAGCAATGCTACACTTGCAGCCTAATGCCTGGTTTTGGAAAGCATATTCTTGCACGCGTGGGTAGGAGACCAATGGCTGTGGACCCCTAGTATGCTGACATGATGTTACAGACCCGTCCATTCCAGCAATAACTCCTTGCAACGGGAGGCGTTGCGCAGGGCTGCCATGTACTCCTGAGTATGGTCATCTCCTTAACTTACTTACTAGTACCTGCTTCTGTTGAATTCAGAGTTGTGGCATGTTGTGAAATGTGACGGTCCTCTGTGCTGTGCGGTGGTTTGTCTTGGGCAATATGTATTCTTTATGCAGATGATGAAAAGACACCTCTTGTTGAGGGAGATGAATCTGCCAAGCCTGCCGAGACTGAGGAGGCTGCTGCTGCTCCTGCTGCAGCCGCCGCCACTGAGGAGGAGGCCCCAAAGGAGGAGGCAGCCAAGGCTGAGGAAGCTGCACCCGCCGAGGAAAAGGTAAGAACTGGCGTTTAGCCCGCTTGTCTACTATATTGCAGGATCTTGGTTTTGCTTTGATTTCGTCGCCTTGTAGTTGTGCTGCTCTTCCTGGCTCTGCGTTGAGGGATCTACAACCAACAATTGAAGTGATATCTAATTTAGTGAAGTAGGGTATGATTTGTACTTCATTGGAATGCAAAACGGTATGTTTGCTAAGCGGACAAGCGTTTCTGCTGTGTGTGTATGTGTGTGTGTGTGCACGCGTGTGTGCGTTTGTGTGTGTGTGCGTGTGTGCTTACGTGTGCAGACGGAGGAGAAGCCAACTGAAGAGGTTGAGGTTGACAGCGAGGACCAGGTACGGTGTAGGGTAGATTTTCGCATATCCTTCTCGACATGCGAACCATTGCGTTACTTCACTCCGTAGGAGTACTGTAACTGGGCATACGCGCCGATGAAACATTCCCAAGCATCAACCTGGTGTACCTCCTGCTGCTGTTTGCTGGGCAGCGGCCAAAGTGTCACCCAGTCAATTATCACGTCATGCTATATGCCCAGTGTGGTGCCCCCCCCCCCCCTTCCACGCCACTGTTCAGGGATGTTATGCTCTGGGAATGATATTGATTAGCTTCATAACAGAACTTGATGGTTGTGGCAGTCTAGCTTGTTCTTATCATTTGCTTTAGATGTGCAATGTGTGGCTCTTTACTTATGATGTTGTGTGTTTTTATTCTTGTCTTTTCAATCTGTCTCAGAAACTGTTGGATGGCGGAGAAGCTACATAAAGATGCGTCATACATGTCTATGCGGTCTGCCATAGTCACAGCTGATTGCACACATCCGTACCTGTGGTCTGTATACTGTGCCCGCGGCATGACATGCTGGTCAATACATATTTCCCGTGCGCGCGCATGATTGCGAGAGAGAGTTTCTGTATGCGCATGTGTCCTCCTCTTCTTGCTCCCTCTGCTTCTTTTATTGAGATCGTACTAGGCTCTGCGTGCGAGATAATGTCCCCGTGTGTGTGTGTGTGTGTGTGTGTGTGTGTGTGTGTGTGTGTGTGTGTGTGTTTGTGTGTGTGTGTGTGTGTGACTTGCGTACTGTGTTTGGCATGGTCATCATCATCGTCGTCGTCGTTGTTCTCTGTGTAAAAATGCCAGCGCAAGGAAACCCAGCGGAATACATGACGTGCAGCTGCAGTCGAGACAGTAATTGTGATGTGCACTGCACTGAGCGCATACGCACAAGCTAGTCCATTGTGTGTGAACACAGAGTAAACACAGAGAGTAATCCGAACGGATCAGGTTCATATTCCCGTCATGCATGCCACCACGTTCACTCTGCATCTTGTATGATTGGCCAGTATGACGTTGTACTAACGGCAATCCCCACCTTATTACAAGCACCCGGTATTCCCGGGTCAACACACACCGAGAACACACACCGAGAATGTGCATGGCAAGACACAGTGGCTTCTGATTTCATTCCCATTTTTTACCCTTTCCTTTTCACTAGATCTTTTCGCATTTCGTTTACCTGCCATTTTTTCATCATGTTCTCTTTCGCTGGTTTACCACAACCTGGACAACACGACTGCCGTCCGAATTTAGATTATTCCGCCCTATGCAATTATCAGTAATCATCGAGGCTAGCAACTGGCTTTCATATCATTCTGTTTTAGTGTTACCCGTCCTGGATTTGCACACCCGTCCCGGATTTTGCACATGCCAGACCCATGCTTTAGGTGGTCTGCTCCAAAATTAAATGATTTAAATTTATGTCCGATCCTGTTTTCTGTAGAGTGCAGAATGCCAAGTAACGTTAGTTGACAGGGAAAGAGTCCATGTGCGTGTGTGTGTGTGTACGTGTGCTTGCGTGCGTGTACTCTTCCCAAAGTGAGGAGTTACGAACATGATCGGACGAGACCAGGGAGTCGTAAAATGCCGGCATTTTTACGACTCCCTGATGTAGACACACTCAAGAAGAGAGGAAGCGTTGTGCTTAGGCCTAGTTTATAGTTTTGTCTGACACACACAGGGTTTGGGGGTGGCGTTCACTTCATTCAGGAAGCCATATGTGTACCCTGAGTACCATGCGTGCATGACTGCACTGACGTGCTTCTTGTCCGAGCTGCCCGCACTTTCCCTGTTGAAATGTGTAGTTTTCCCTTCCAGGTGGGAAGTAGTAGAGCACTGGGTTACTGTGGGGGTCAATGTAGGGAGCGATTTCCCCGATAACCGGGGTACCCGTTGGACCACTTCTTCAAGTGCCTACATGTAAGAAAAGGGTTTGCTCCCCACACCGGAGCTCGCGCTATTCCGCCGACTTTACTTGACACTTGACTGACTCACGACTGCCATCCAGAGCACACGAGAAGTCCATCGAACCTTCGACTCGGCAAACCTGCAAGAAAGCACCACTCCCTGCTCAATACACAGTGTTTCGGGGAATTCACCCCTCATCAGTTGAGCTTGAGTAGGCTGAGGAAGATTGTGCCTGAAGAGCACCACTTATATAGTGCTCTCCAGGCACGACCATCACCAGGGATACAAACTTACAGAGACGCTCCGTTTTTAGCGCGACAAACACCTCGTGAGCACCAGATAGCAGCGTGAGTCAGTGTCGCTCCTGGACGGTGAGACAGACGTCGAGGACCCTCGGTCATTCGCAACGCTGTCACCTCCAAACCAACTAGTGTATTGAGCAGGGAGTGGTGCTTTCTTGCAGGTTTGCCGAGTCGAAGGTTCGATGGACTTCTCGTGTGCTCTGGATGGCAGTCGTGAGTCAGTCAAGTGTCAAGTAAAGTCGGCGGAATAGCGCGAGCTCCGGTGTGGGGAGCAAACCCTTTTCTTACAAATCATCGCCGAGGTCGCAACCACTACTGCCTACATGTACATAATAATATATATAGAGTATAACAAAATGTCACAGTAGAAGTACCCGGGGGGGGGGGGCAAATGGATATCACTTCTGAGGTCTTCACATGCTAGAGAGAACAACTATATGTCATTCTACTTTGAAGTACTTTTTAATACTTCAAAATGCAACAGAGAAAACAGCACTTTTTTCTGTGAAACGTTTCCTATGGCCGAAGTGGTTTTAGCTACCTTTATAGCTTGTTCTTGTTATCTACACAAAGTACATGATTGTACACTGTACTATGTGTGTGATATCTTGCCAGTCCTGACTTGAGTGGAACACTATTACAGTGCCAAGTTCAGTACGGTTACGTGAGTGCATGATTGTAGTGGAGATGCCAATAGCAAAGCATGATCACTGCCAGACTCAGAAGGTCAAATATATGACTATCCCTCAGGTGACACCTTTACCAAAAGCTTCCCGAGTGGTGTTGTTAGGAGCAATGGTGTGAGAGAGAGAGAGAACTCTTGTGTAGTGAACACAGCCCGCATGGCATGGTATTGCCAGGCCTGTCAGTAACAAGTCTGCACTGGGTCCGCTGCCCCTCGTCACGAGACTGTCAGGATCAGAAGCGAGACACGCACGGAAAGAGACAGAGCCAGAGAATCTGCGTGGTCTGAAACAACACAAGAGGATTGCAGCCTTGCTGCCACACTCCAGACTAACATCCATGGAAAAGACCATTGTTAACATGTTTTCAGTATAATATTATCATCACGGGTGACCAGGCGGATCCGAACTCCGAGGTACATGTACATCCTGACTAACATGCCGTGAAAACTTTGCTGATCGAGCACCATGCTGTGTAGTGTCTCTAACGTTAGCACTCTCACTTCTTGACCATACGTATCTAGAACGAGATTTGTCGGAGAACACTACATTCCCCGATCGGTACAGGGGCTTCTCTGCTTTCTCTGCTTCCTCGCTGGCCTTTTTCCGAAACTCGGCAATCTTTCGCCTCTTCTCCTGCATCTGTTCGCTTTCATCCCAGTAGTCGTCGTCTTCATCCTCGCTATACGGATTGAGATCCACGTGACGTTTTGAACGATCACTGCGGTCGGCATGACAACCCTCACCTTCAGCGTGGCTTTCACTGAATTTATAACCCATTGGGCGGCGTCGTTCACGACGGAATGCGTCCCCCGGTATCTCCGGCTGATAGAAACCAAAGCTAGGCTCCGTTGCAGTTGGTCGGCTTAGCTTCAAGAGCTCATGGTTGAAATCCGTCCAATCCTTCTTCTTCTTTTCAGCTTGCTCATCGGTGGTGTCGCCGCGGAGATCGTTCAGCTGCCGACGGTATCGTTCATTCATCGCGCAAAGGTCGGCGTCCATGAACTTGTAGCGCATGCGAATGCCTCGCGAGGTGCCGTAGCGTTTCTGGTGCAAGTCCTCCAAGTGCTGTTCGTGCTTGCGTGGCTGTTGTATCACCGCCCGTACTCTGGCCAATGTGTCCAGCCTCCACAGTAGCTTTCTCTCAGCTTTCACGTGATTCATGTACTCCATGTGCTCAGTCATGTAGGTGCTGAACTCTCGGTACATCCGGCGGTGAACGGCTAGGAGAAATCCTATGCTCACGCCGTTGTAGCGAGTCATCTATTCGGCAAGAAAGGATGCACATGCATAATATTATAGATTATATACAGACAATGATTACATGGGCAGATTAAACTCGTTTAATATGGTCCTCTCTTTTTTTAATGATTACGTGGATAATTATGAAACCACGCGCCTGTTCTCTCACATCCTTTTAAAACTTTGACATTGGAACGAATAGGTTCGTTTGAATGTTGTAGTCGATTCCTTTCTCCCAACCAACCTACCTCGCGGCAATTGAGAAAGAAGACAAATTGAGCCGAGCCGATCTTGTAAGAATCCTTTACTTGATCTGACATCTTCTTGAAATCTATGGTCGCCTTGATGACATCAGCTGGTGCCTTCCAACGCTAAAGAAACATAAACACACCAACAAAACAAAAACAAAAATCACCAAGCCACAATATTGCTAGGCAGTAGTGGAATTATTGTGCTTTAAAGCTTTTACAAGTACGGTTCTGCTTTAGATCCTAGTGTACATGTACATGTATTATATTATTATTATTATTATTATTGTTTACTATGAACGCAGCCCACTGCGGAAAATGTTGATAACAACATAAAGCAAGACAAAGGAGATGCAGGGACGACGTGCTGATGTACTGAGATCAGCTCGACCGACCAGGGGTCTCTTTGTTAGTGTTTCAAGTACAGTCAACTTTGCGTATAACGACACTCGGCGGGGTATCAGAAAAGAGTCGTTATTCGCGAAGTGTCGTTATACCCGAAGTCTCATTACATGTATTACAGTAAGATGGGACTTTGCTCTGGGCATGGAATTTCTGTCGTTATTCGCAAATATTGTCGTTTAACCCGCAGTCGTTCTTAGCGAAGTTTACTGAAAGCATCGTAAATGTGTGTTAAATTTAAGAAAGGGGGAGGGGGGGTCTTACTCGGTATAGCGGCATGATGTCTTCGGTGTAGTCGCGTGTCTTATCGTAGAAGAAGACAATAATCACCTTGTTAAAACTCTTGTGTAGCTCGTCTCCATGGAAATACACAAAGTCGTCCAGGTCGTCCTGACAACGAGAATTTGAACACAAACAATCCGCCACCCTAAATTACACTGGTAAGTCCTGGTCTCGCTTCACAAACGCGGGACCGAAATACCAGTCATCAACGTCTTTGTATGCAGGTGGTTTCGATAACCGGGGTTTCTCCCTGCAGATCATATCATTCAATATACCCTGGAAAGTACAGTGCTCCTCAATGAAATCCGATCACGTGAATCAAGTTTTCACTCTGCGCCAGTAGTACGCATTCGTCTGGTGGGGCTCCACAGCTAGCGACCGGGGTGGCAATCACTTTCTTGTTAGGATTGCATTGAGCAGTACAGTACAAATGATTGTTTTCACCCGGAGGATGACGGGCCATGCCCGAAAATTTGATGAATTCAACTATTTGAACAGGCGGCGAGGTGACAACAATTTTAAAGGGGAAGTATACCCTAAAATCAAATTTTCACCAGTTGTAGTCTTCTGGGTGCTGAGTCGAATGGTCTTGGTCCGAGGAAGCTGCGACGCTCCCTTCCTACTTGAATCCCAATCGAACTCGCGCACTTCCACCGAAACTGGGTGACTGCGCCCTACGAGATGGGGATTTGTATGCAAAATGTCACTAAAAGCGCCATTTCGTTCTTATAAAAGCACGGATGACCGCGATTGGCCCATATGTTGTAGTCTTTTGGACGCTGAGTCGACTGGTTTTGGTCCGAAAAGGCTCCGATGCAGCGTTCCTCCTTTATTCCCAATCGAACATGGTTGAACAAGCGGTCACGTGCTCCTGGGTGCCCAAATCACCTGGTCACCGCGCCAGCAGGCGACAACTTTCACACCAAGGTTCAACTCGGGTTCAACTCGAGTGACAGGACTGTACCCAAAAAAGGTCAAACAGGCTAGTAAGTTGTACCCTGCAGGCACGGTGACCAGGTGACTGGTGTACGCAGGAGCACGTGACCGCTTGTTCAACCATGTTCGATTGGGAATAAAGGAGGAACGCTGCATCGCAGCCTTTTCGGACCAAAACCAGTCGACTCAGCGTCCAAAAGACTACAACATATGGGCCAATCGCGGTGATCCGTGCTTTTATAAGAACGAAATGGCGCTTTTAGTGACATTTTGCATACAAATCCCCATCTAGTAGGGCGCAGTCACCCAGTTTTGGTGGAAGTGCGCGAGTTCGATTGGGATTCAAGTAGGAAGGGAGCGTCGCAGCTTCCTCGGACCAAGACCATTCGACTCAGCACCCAGAAGACTACAACTGGTGAAAATTTGATTTTAGGGTATACTTCCCCTTTAACATGGCAATGAACATAATTATCTGAAGCCTTCGTAACATGTCGCTTCAGCTGATTCGGTTCATTGCCATCTTAATGGGGAAGTATACCCTAAAATCAAATTTTCACCAGTTGTAGTCTTCTGGGTGCTGAGTCGAATGGTCTTGGTCCGAGGAAGCTGCGACGCTCCCTTCCTTCTTTTTTCCCAATCGAACCCGCGCACTTCCACCGAAACTGGGTGACTGCGCCCTACTAGATGGGGATTTGTATGCAAAATGTCACTAAAAGTGCTATGTCGTTCTTATAAAAGCACGGATGACCGCGATTGGCCCATATGTTGTAGTCTTTTGGACGCTGAGTCGACTGGTTTTGGTCCGAAAAGGCTGCGATGCAGCGTTCCTCCTCTATTCCCAATCGAACATGGTTGAACAAGCGGTCACGTGCTCCTGGGTGCCCAAATCACCTGGTCACCGCGCCAGCAGGCTACAACTTTCACACCAAGGTTCAACTCGAGTTCAACTCGAGTGACAGGACTGCAGCCAAAAAAGGTCAAACAGGCTAGTAAGTTGTACCCTGCAGGCACGGTGACCAGCTGACTGGTGTACGCAGGAGCACGTGACCGCTTGTTCAACCATGTTCGATTGGGAATAAAGGAGGAACGCTGCATCGCAGCCTTTTCGGACCAAAACCAGTCGACTCAGCGTCCAAAAGAACAACATATGGGCCAATCGCGGTCATCCGTGCTTTTATAAGAACGAAATGGCCCTTTTAGTGACATTTTGCATACAAATCCCCATCTAGTAGGGCGCAGTCACCCAGTTTCGGTGGAAGTGCGCGAGTTCGATTGGGATTCAAGTAGGAAGGGAGCGTCTCAGCTTTCTCGGACCAAAACCATTCGACTCGGCACCCCGAAGACTACAACTGGTGAAAATTTGATTTTAGGGTATACTTCCCCTATAAAATTCAATTATTTATTTATTTTGACGTGACGTGCGCAGCGAAGAGAACGCATTAGGAAAGTGTGAGTTGAGGTACCTGTAAAGTACCGCACAGTATTGATACAATGAAACTTCAGCACAACGTACATGTACATGTACCTCCAAAGGGCATAAAACCAGTACTTTGGGCCAATAAGGTCAAACGACTGAAATATGCAGGGCGTTCCAAAATGTACTTTATGCCCGATGTAAAGAAAAAGTATGCTACAAAGGGGTGCTATAATATACGATGTAAATAAACTGTGGTTCAGCGTGCAGACTTGGTGGCATACTGGGTGGTCACCTATGACTATATCATGTGGTCCTTTAGGAGTTTACGTCGGGCCCTAAACACGACGGCTACTTTGGCCAACCGGACAACAAAGAAGTTGAGACCAAAGAGAATGATTTTCTTTTCTTGCGCATGCTTATGTGATAGTGACGTAATAGACGGTGCGTGAGGTCGCTACAGTCCTTTGACTACACTTTGCAGCTGTACATGTACAGATGAGTATACACACGAAGGACACAAACGAGGATTTTAGAGTTCGACAAACACTAAAACTTCACTTGTACCGTTTTAACGTGTGCAAAAGCGTTCCACATTATTGTGTGGAGCCTTCTCCACTGGCAAAAGGGAACTTCTTTGCAGACGAGTATACACGTACATGTAGGTGAGACAAAGTTCACATCTTCGCGTTGCTCCTGTTATAGAATTGTGCATATGTAACTATTGCACTATGATAATGCACATGCAGTGCACCACCTTTGCCAGTGTCCAGTGTCCAAGGCGAGAATTAGAGAGCTGTGGGGTTGAAACAAGAGCTCTCAAACACCTCCTGAGTCCCTACAGCCAGAACCCACCCACCATGCATTTCGTCTCAGGTATACTAATACTGGTGTTCACTCAAACTACCAAGCAGACAGAGATCTACATAAGCCACAACTTCATTACCTTAAGGGTCTAAACCAGGGAGTCGTAAAGTAACGATATTGCACAACTCCCTGGAGAATAAAGGAGTGCATGAGAATTCACTATTGGCTTCACTGCAGTCTCTCTCCAGGCTTACCTCACTTGGTATATCATACAGACCATCCGCCGAGCACCGCACTTTCGGAGCAATGTACGGCTTGAGGTCGTACTCGTACTTGTGTCTGGCGAGGAAGTTCCTCACGACCTTCTTCTCCCGCTTCCACAACTTGCCACTGTGTCAGAAACACGCCAACACACGGTCTATAAGTACACACGTGTATCAGCTTTATGCAGTCTATCACGTGTGCATGGGCATGCGATATGAAAAGTGCCCGCTAAAAGGAGTATTATCTCCATGCATCTAAGTCCTTGTCTTAGCTATGACATGGTTACCTACAGTAGGGAAGGCTTGGCCATGATGTGCAGACCACTCCCCGTACCGTTCCGGGTGCACCGGTGTTTGCCACAATGTTAAAATATTTTAAATGGGAATCGTTCTGATTATGGTCTAACTTCGCGCACAAGCAGATTCTTCTTCGACCTCAAGGTGTGATCTGCGCTCACATACAGTCAGACCTCGCATAACCGCACACATCCGTTTTCCAGAAAAATAACCGGATAGGCGAGGGAACCGGTTAATCGAACACACATACTGTATAATGTGCATGGCATGTGCTGTAAATCGGCAACCAACGATTTTCTACCGGATGGCGAGGGATCCGGATAAACGAGGATCGGATAAGCGAGGTCTGCCTGTACAGTCATGGGCATGTAGGACTTAGAGTAAAGAGGATACAACGTCCACTAGTCGTCATGACCACTAGTCGTCATGACGAGGTATTAGATAAACCTTGTGTTGTTCACACATGTTGTTGGTTTGACAGCATGATTGTGACAAGATGGAGGACACCGTGTTCGGAAAACAGTGACCTTTTACTTATAGAGAGGGTCAGGACCGGGTCTAACGTACGGGACAGATGGTCGCAACCCACCGGGGCTCTACCAACCGTGGATGGTTGTAGAAAGGTCACTGTTTCCGAACACGGTGTCTCCACTCAGAGTCCACTGTCAAAAAACAACATGTCGTCATGACGTGTACGGGAAATACTAGAGACGAGTACTGGGTTATGGTAAGAAAAAAAGTACTTGTTGAAAGTAGTTCTATGCTGGCGACTAGGGTGGAGGATGAACGGTAAACACGATGGTAAGAATAAGAAGACTGAGAAGAGAACTAGATAGAACGGAACGGGATAGACACGATGGGGAGATGTGCTTGGGAGAGATGCGAGCCATGCAACAACGAAGATGACATTGGAGGAGTTTACTGACTATGTGGATGGCTTGTGGAGATATCTGGCTAAAAGGAAGCAGTCATCGCCCCTCGCCGCTTACCTTAGTCCTATTGGCCATTCCACTTCCTCCGGCGTTGCCATACTCGAGACACAGTGACCTGGTGACTAACTCACAACGAAACTGATCATAAAGAAACTCTAGACTCACAGGTAGCTCGCGAGTCCTGATTGACAAAACACAGTATCCCTATTTCCTTTTTCCCACTGCACTGCCTTTGCTGTGATGCAAACAAGCTACATAATCGTCATTGACACATGTACGTACAAGACGCATTCAATGACTTATGTACGATTTCATGCAGTGGTACTTCTCAGGCATACAAGACTGTGATGATGTTGAAGACCGCAGAACTGGACACATCGGCGCAGGGCAACGATCAGCTTGCTTGGCTGGACACTGCACACAAGACAACACGACGTTTTTGCATGACAGCACGGCACTGCAATCTAGTGCAGTGTCGCTGGTTGAAAGACTAAAAGTTTTCTGCGTCGACCGAGTCTACTTGGAAGCATTGTTGTGGGTTGTGATATAGAAGGTGTGGGCATAGACTGATGGACATAGTGCTAACGGTTAAACCCTGGATTGGTGAGAAAACTGGTCTAGCCACCTACGACCACGTACCAAGTGCGGAATGACTACCATTTCTTCATCTCACGGGATAAATTCTGCATTGAAGGAGAAAGACGCTGTTACTAGTGTTGGTCGTTTTGAAGTTTTTCCGTGCCAGTTTCATGGTTTTGTAGTTGTCACAGTCAGGCTAGGCGTAGAACTACACCAGGACAGGACTCAAGACTCGCGTCCGTCCTATAGCCAAGTGTAGAAACTGCGTCACTGGTATCACTGGTATGGAGTTGTCGCACGCTAGAAGAATGATGGTGTGTTTAGTATTACATGTGCTCAATGATTATAATCCTTTCGGCTCACGTTTTTGCAGGAACAATAATAATTGTTGCTCAGCAGCTGTACACAGTACAGCCTAGTCCGGGCAGCTTACCCGGTAACGTGACAAATGCATTCACTACTTCCAAGAGTACACGAGAATTAGTAATAGTTACGTGTAATGGTGTGATATACGGGGTAATTTCAGTGCCAAAACTGCATAAGAATTCTATGTTGAAGGACGTGGTTGTTCGCGGTAACCTACACCGTACCACTAACACCACCGCATGTATTGCATACTGCGTGTATCAAAACTCTTCCACCGACCTCGGCGATAAAAAGCAAAAAAGATCATGATTGTATCCGTATCCTTGCAATTTATCCGCTCTTGAACTTGAAGAATGTTCTAGCAGCTTGAACGGCCTTACAATCATGTACTGATGTAGAAGTCATACACTGGGCAGTTGGCATAATGAACGCCGTAAGATAATACTGCAATGTAATACTAGACAACCACCGCACACATCATTGTATTGACAATGATGTTGTACTAAGTACATGACTGTATAACCTATTTACATGTACTCCCAAAACTTGGATCATTTTTTATATCAAGTCCTACATGTAATGATGTAGTTTGCCCGAGCTTGGAACGGATTCCCGGAATGTAAAAATGCGGATTTTGTACAGTCCGTTCGTTCCGAGCAGCAGCCCTGTTGTATCATGACTGACTGTATTCGCCCCGTGCGTGCCCGTTCTTTCTCAAACGAAGGGAGTTGGCCGAGGCTATCGGCGTTCAAGCGGCCGTACTGCATGGTCGTGAGTGCTTTGCGCAACTCCCTGACTTTCACAGCCACAGGACGATATGCAGCTGCAAGTCCAGGATACCGGCGACTACTTCACGGCAAGCACAACGGCAATGCGGTGCACTGCTCACCAGGAACTATTCCCAGACGAAGATGATGAGTTGTGCCAGTGTTTCACTGCCTCCCCGCGCATCCTGAGCCGAAAAATCTCGAACAGCCGTCCGGTGGTGGACTGCGAGATACAGCCATGGCTCGCCATAAAAGACCATGTCGCAGGTCAGCGCTGCCAGCAAGCCCTGCTGCAGTCGTCGTTGCAAAAGAAAACACCCCAGTGCAGCATCCGACTTCAGAGTTTCTTGCGCTCGGAGGAAGTGGTGTGGGTTGACTTTGCTGAAAGTAGATCGGACGAACACTGCTTGCACGGCGCGGCCAAACCATCAAGGTGAGTAACGGATGTTGATTATAAGCTGAGCGTCAAGGTAGATTGAAATTGTTCATTGTTTAGTGCTGGGAATCACGGTACTTCTCCAGCCAACGTAGCGATAACATTGTGGTCTCCTCCAGCATTTTAGCGATCTTAGTTGTACTTGAGTAGACGGAAAGCGGGAATGATTGGTCAATGAGTATGTGCTTGCATGCCTACCCATGATCAGGAGTTCGATTCCGAGCATCAAATGAGTAAATGCCAAGAGGCAATCGAGGACCTCTCTTTGCATGCATAGCGGGAGCGGCAACTGCCCTGGATCCATTCTTGTTTTCAGTCTTGTGTGCTTATTGTATTGGTCTCCATTGGGAATAACTCGGCTTTCACAAACAGCCTTGAAGAACGCTTGGCCCAGTTGTACAAAGGAAACCTGGTACCCGTGCTAGCTCCTAGATTCGCTGGCAATGGTGAACAGGAATGGCAGTGACTGATGAGCACTAAAAGGAATGTTAGAACATCTGGATTAGAGTACTAGTATTGGCATGTTCATCCAAATAGGGGCATTTCCTGATGCTGACTTGGCTGATGGAAGTGACCTATTGGCACTGCAACAGCCATACTAATAGTAATAGCATTAGAGAGGATAGCCAGGGTGCTACAGGCTTCTCACCCATATCGTGTAGCCTTTACTTTGAGCCATGCACTGATGTGCATGTAGATTGCAGGTGGTAATGCCTGTACTGGAACAGTCATTCCCTGTTTAGTGTTCAAGCTGACTTGGTTGCTTGAACAATTGTTACTGGTTTCAACGTAAGCCACCAGTGTGTGACTAAGTTACATTGCATAATCCCATAGGGTACACTGGTCAGGAGTGATCATAATACTCAGAACCGGAATTTAGTGCTTGGTGCTTGCCTGTTTACTTATACCCAATGGGGATGAACAGGACTTAATTTGAGTCTTGGTATTGGCGATTTCCCCTTCATAACTTCCAACTGATCAGCCAGATATCTCCTATGTTACTATAGATATTATTACCTAATCCGTCAGAGTATTGTTCGCAAGACAAGTCATGGTGATGCACCAGTACACAGAGTTTGGGAGGGGGGGGGGGGAGAAAACTGCTGAGTCATGCTGCATTATGTGCAATGAGATCCATGCCTTCCCCGGCTTGACCGATACATGATGAGAATTCCACTAAGTGCTAAAGTCATGGTGAATTTTGCACTGTTCCACGAAATCTAACCCCAGGCACAATACATTATTATAGATGTGTTTGAGTAGAACCACTACTAAACTTGGCTGCCTGAATGTATATCACAGTGTGCACATAGTCATTGCCAACATCACAGCCTTGAAGAGAAACCCATGTGCTCTTGGGATTGTTTATGGTCAAAGTCAATGAATGATGTACTCTGAGTTGATAATGTTTACTCACAGGCTTACAGCCCAGTGGGTCCTGTTTAGTGCATTAATGATAGTCATGCATTTTGTGAGTGTTTACTCCTCATGTCATTGTTCACTCTGCTCAATCACAGGAAGTGCCACGCCTGAGGTTGCGTAAGAGTCACGCCTAAACCGCCTAACAGAGCTGCTCAACCATGTCCCGTCTACTGTGCTGTGCATCACTTGGGATGCTTCTCATTGCATTCATCGTGGTCTCCTCTGTTCCGGAGAGCACCGAAGCAACACCGAGATTGTAAGGCTGAACGTATCCTAGAGTATTCTCTCACCACTAGGGTATAGCAGGGTTAGAGAATCCTTACCTGCTTGAAGTACATTATTACAGTCATCATCTACATCTACGTCATTGAGAATTGTGCCCTCCCCTAATCAAAGGTTGACAGCTACTTATGAAGCGCAGGATGTCACAGGCAGTACTAGTTGTTGTCGTCATGAACTGCTGCATTTTACCCAACCCCATCCAGCGTAGGAGTCAGCCAGCCAAGTATGGCGTGGATGTCCGTATTGCTCTCTGTAGCATGCTCAACATAAACTGACCTGTGAATAACAATAGTTCTAAGCAACCAGATTGACATCCATCGTAACGTTAAGCCAAGAGTAGTTTGGAATCTATGGTTTTGAACTGTAGACCAGATGATGATGATGTGTGTATGTGTGTGTGTGTGTGTGTGTGTGTGTGTGTGTGTGTGTGTGTGTGTGTGTGTGTGTGTATGTGGGGCCAGTATTTCATATTTCATAATTTTATCAAATCGCTAATGTTGTAACTCTTCTCGTGAATTATTATCAAAAAACACATTCACCATTCAATTGTAATAGATTATCTATTACAATTGAATGGTGAATGTGTTTTTTTCTTTGGTTTTTCATTGCAGCTTCAGTTTCGGAGGAGGAAAATGGAATCGCGGCCGCGTTAGAAGTTATCGGCGGCCATGGAACTTTCGCTGTGAGTTACTATTCATGCGTTGTTCATGTATGTGTTGTGTGCACAGTACATAGGGGATGTCCGTGCGCATTGCGGTGTGGAAATAGCTAAGTTCAGCACAAAGCTTACTACTTATAATAGATGAAGAAAGGAAAAGCACAAAATGTTACGAGTTATTACGAACTGTCCACCAGCGTAACCAGATCTGATACAGTCAGCGAGTGCGACAAATGGCACAAAACTGACAAGGAGTACTGAGACATTCGTATAAGATCTGGTTACGTTGGTGGACAGTTTGTCATAACTCGTAACATGTTGTGCTTTTCCTTTCTTCAACGTAATTATAATTGGCTCACCATCCGAGTACTTCTAATAGGCTAAAACTTCTTCAAGAACCGTATTCCCAGAGTATAAGCCGCACCCAGGTTATTTGTCAAGACACACAGACCTCTACCCTGTTTTCACCGCTAATTTGACCATCGTATTATAAGCTGCACAGAGGTTTTTTGGGTGAATCATGAGTGCTGCAAGTGCGGCATATTTTTTATTTTATTTTAATTTTTTTATCGTCTCCACTTCATGGCACATAATAAATAATACATAGCCAATACAAGAAAGGGAGGGTGAATCCAACCACGGAAAATAGCATTATCAAAAGAAGAAAGGTAAGGGAGGTGTACTCTGGAAAATACAGTATGTATTTTGTGGACATCCTGTATTGCAATCTGCTGCTGGGGGAGAGAATGTTGCCACTGATGTCATTCCTGGCTTCTCTGTGCCTTTTCTTGTATGCTGCTTTTTTTTGCTTCAGATTTCTTCACTCGCCGCTTCAATTACTACAAGGCGAAACCGCCGAAGCCCAAGCCAGTAACCAGCATGGCCCCGGCGACTGAGCCACCGACCATGTGCGCTCCGGTGCAGACGTGCAACGTTACCGACCAGCTGGACTCTCTGACCAGCGCCCTGTACAGCGCACTCTTTTCTCAGGCCACCGAGGTGGCGCGCGCCACCGCTCAGGAGGTCAGCCATTATTAGCACACGGCTCAGTGTGTACCGTAAACTGTTTGCTGTTGTCTGATGGTTCGCTTAGCACTGTGTACCCAACTCTCAATATTTTCAACAGGGATAAGAAGTTATTTACTTGGAAGTAGGAAAGTGAGGTCCTGTTGATATCACGGTTTCCGTGTTGTGTTGAGTGGCAAACCAGTGCTTATGATACGACTGTTTTTTTTCCACTCAATACAAAGCATCTCAAATGATGAGATTGTTGGGTATTGGCCTTCATCAGGGTGATGATTAGAACAGGGGTTTCATCCACAAATATACTCGCAATCCAGTTTCCAATGCCAATAGGATGATTTAGGCTGAATGAACAGTAATGCACGATGAAGAACTGAGCCTATCCTTTAGTTATTGCATGTATGGCATCCGGCCTCATAGTGGGACGCTTTCACGTTGCCCAGACAGTCCCTGAGGCTGCAGGCGTGTATCTACAGGTGCGTGAAAGCCAGTCTGGCCGACTTTAAAGTGAGCTGCGAAATATGTCCATCTATTTTTGATAATTATCTCATGTTTCCCTCGGGATAGTGCAAGCAGGAATAAGTTTTTGGCACATTACAACAATCTCTGGAAACTTTGCATATGATGAGGATGATGGCGATGATGATTGTCTCAATCACTTTTTTTGTGTGTTTTTCATCTAAGGTGTTTGCGGAATTTCAAAACAACCCGGCAGGTGGCGATTGCGCAATGACAGAGCTGGTTGGCAACATGATTACAGCCAATTTGATTCCGTCAATCGTCGACGCTGTGGTGGACTACGACCTGCAGTTGACGTTGAACAATGACAACACGCGTGTGCTTGTTGCCAATTACACAACTCGTGAATTCCCCGTCGTTGGAGCCATTCGGGTATGCTGATCTTAGCGATGACATAACCTGTAGCATCCTGAACAGTCCAGGGACGTCGGGAGGTATTTTAGGGTGGCACGGTCAGCCACCTAAAGTACAATTCACTCGTGGGGTTAAGGTGGCTCCTCTGAAAAATTTCGAAATTTAGACCCCAGATCAGTGCTTTGATTCACAGGGCACTAGGGACAAAGAGTGGTACGGTCAATACCTTAGTGACCGTAGCGTGTCCGATGTCCCCCTGCCCTGCTGTACATCCTCTTGTATAGTTGAGAGCATTTCATCACCATATTGAATAGGTTAGGTTCTGCAAAACGAAAATTCGAATAAAGTTTCGCGACACCGCAAGCAAGTCCATATAACCGGCACTAGCGCTGTTATAGGTGCGATTTTGTCACTGCTCTGGCCGCCAAAGTGCCGGTTATAGGGACTTGTTTGCTGCTGTTTTAGTCACCATTTTAATTCGACTTGAAAGCAATGGTGCGAAAGGCCTCACTTACTCGCACACACGAACTCAATCACTCACTCTCTCTCTCGTTTTTGTTTGTTTCACTGTTGGTGTGGTTGCTACTGATGGTTATGTGGTGGTACAGATTATCCTGACATTTGGTGGTGGCCCTGACCTTATTGATGACAGCACAAACTTGCAAGCGACTATGTTTGAGTTCCGGCCACCTACGGAGAACGTCTTCTTCCCTTTCCCACTCTTGCTACAGGTAAGCATGGCCATAGGAATTGTAAAAGGTTTGGTTTTCTTAGGGTATATCGTCTGACCTCTGTGGGCTAGTTTTACACTTGTATTAGACGCAAGGGGTATATAGCGTTTTGTATGGTATCATCCCTGAGTTATTTCCGTTACCTTGAAATTGATGAAAGATACCTCGTTGTGACGACTGACATATTGCCACCTCATTCTTCCAGTAATCTGTGGCCGTTTGTCTTAGCCAATTAGGTACATTATTTTAATGAATGAATAAAATGCACATCGGCCCACTAAACGAGCCAGGTTGACATAGGTTTTTCCTAGCATTTGTTCTGTGGGTTGTATTCCAACTGTGTCCAGGAGTGCGTGACTACAACAGTATGCGGTGTCAACGTGACACAGCCATCTGTATCTCCAACACCGCCAATGATTGTTGACGGCCCGGACAAAGTGCCCATTCTGATGATCACCGACGTCCAGACGCCCATCCTGGAATTGTCCAATGTCAGATGTACACGCAACCAGTCCTAGATACTCACCCCCTCTTTTCCCCACCCTCTTAAACACCCCCCCCCCCACACACACACACACACGCGCGCACACTTACACCCAAACTCACACACACACACACACACACCTGACTCCAAGAATACTTCGTGGGTGGTAAGAACAAGTTATGCACGTTAATTTTTGCACACACAAGAATACGAAGCCAATCCAGTTCTATACACAGCTGTTCACAATGCTACCTCCACCTAGGATGTATGCACGTGCAGCTGTTAACCCTGTCTATAGCGGCATGCTCTGTACGATCTGCACTACCTCGAGCTACAGAGCTGGCCTGTGACAATCACCCCATGAAAATAACGTAGCGCTGTGTTCGAGAGTACAAGAAGTTCACTCCAGGCAGCACCCGTAGTACTGAGGATGTGCAGTGTGCGGTGCTGTTTTGTTCATGACGGAAACTTTAATGACCACCACTATATCAGTTACCACTAGACTGAACACCCATCTCTGCCCTAACTCCACTACTTAGGATTAGAGTCAACCCAGGATTTGTGGTTCGCATGTGCTACACCAATGCCAACTAATCATCATTGTTATGAAATACAGCAGCACGCTATCAGAAAACATCCACTACTTGTATCATTTTTTATTCTATTGAAGTGGATGTTAGCGAGGAATATTATCACCTCTCGTGGCTGTTCCTTCTTAGAAAAGCTGTCTGTGTGCTCAGCTAAATCAGTTTAAACTACTGTAGAAGTATCCACTGTAAAAATGATCTCCGTCCGTAATGTCTCTATGATTGTGGTCTGAATAACGTTTGTACATGGCAACATTGTATGCTAGAGTGGGACTGTGGCTTGCAGTGAATGTGTGTGTCATGTGTGTGCATCCGATGACTGGAGCCTTGCAACGTTGCCGGGTCACACTGGGTGCACTGTGCAAATGTGTGTATCTGTGAGAGCCGGAGTGACTGAAGGGAGCGAGTTGTTCCTCACACTGCAGTGTCACAGTTTTGGGGCTTTCTGAATCCCTGCCCATCCCCCCCCCCCCCCTGCTCTCCCTGGATAGATGACCCCAAATATTTGTAAGGCAGGGGAAACGTACCAGCCATTGCCTGACCTGGGGACTAATCAGTCCACAACCCTGGCACAGAATAATTCATTAAAGGGGAAGTTAAGGCAAAAATTAAAATTTCACCAGTTGTAGTCTTCAGGGTGCTGAGTCGAATGGTCGTGGTCCGAGGAAGCTGAGACGCTCCCTTCCTACTTGAATCCCAATCGAACTCGCGCACTTCCACCGAAACTGGGTGACTGCGCCCTACTAGATGGGGATTTGTATGCAAAATGTCACTAAAAGCGCCATTTCGTTCTTATAAAAGCACGGATGACCGCGATTGGCCCATATCTTGTAGTCTTTTGGACGCTGAGTCGACTGGTTTTGGTCCGAAAAGGCTGCGATGCAGCGTTCCTCCTTTATTCCCAATCGAACATGGTTGAACAAGTGGTCACGTGCTCCTGCGTACACCAGTCACCTGGTCACCGTGCCTGCAGGGTACAACTAACTAATTACTACAATACTAGCCTGTTTGACCTTTTTTGGGTGCACTCCTGTCACTCGAGTTGAACTCGAGTTGAACTTTGGTGTGAAAGTTGTCGCCTGCTGGCGCGGTGACCAGGTGATTTGGGCACTCAGGAGCACGTGACCGCTTGTTCAACCATGTTCGATTGGGAATAAAGGAGGAACGCTGCATCGTAGCCTTTTCGGACCAAAACCAGTCGACTCAGCGTCCAAAAGACTACAACATATGGGCCAATCGCGGTCATCCGCGCTTTTATAAGAACGAAATGGCCCTTTTAGTGACATTTTGCATACAAATCCCCATCTAGAAGGGCGCAGTCAACCAGTTTCGGTGGAAGTGCGCGAGTTCGATTGGGATTCAAGTAGGAAGGGAGCGTCGCAGCTTCCTCGGACCAAGACCATTCGACTCAGCACCCAGATAGGGCCAGAAGACTACAACTGGTGAAAATTTGATTTTAGGGTACTTCCCCTTTAAAAACTTCAACTAACTAAACTACTTACCGTACTTGAAATGACGCGGCATGTGCAGTGCATCATGCATAGCCTGCCAGTTGTACGAAATCCAGTTTCCTCGGATAAAAAAAAATGCATTGGCCGGGAATCGAACCCGGGCCCCCCGCGTGGCAGGCGAGGATTCTACCACTGAACCACCAATGCTTTGATGGTGTTCTAGACATATTTCGGGATCAAACCCTCACCTGCCGTGGTCTGGCCAAAGCGTACATCTAGCCAGGTATAGTATGCCGGTAGTCGTCAAACACCGATTTTGACGACTCCCTGTCTACTCCACTGTCACCATGACTATGATGTAACATCTTCATGACATGTAGATCTATCACTTACCGCTACCAAGTACCAGGGCTAGGGAGGCATCAATCATGACATGAGTCGATTCTTATGACTCGGGGCATGGTCAGGGAAGTCGTGAAATGCGTGGTAACTGGTATTTTATTTTGTCGCTATGGACATGGACTCTCTTGGTCGCCATGGATTTCTCGTGATGTCCTGTCAAAACATTTTCATTTTGTGTAGATCGACGACACCCAACAAAACTGTCCTCTTGATCTTCTCTTCTCAACTCAAGTCTTCACTTCTTCAGTCGTTCAGAGTGGTGCCTCTACAATACTCAATCGCTTCATTCCTCCTCGTACTCGTAGGCAAGACTGATCTCTGTCACGGGCAGTACTAGATCTGCTCCCTCCTACTTGTAGTGCTCGCACAGCGCTACGAGTACCTCAGCTCTCGGAGTAGTAGCATTAGCAGGTCGACACAGTGGTCGGCTAGAACTCGATTGCGAGGAATATAGCAACTGGCCAAGTTACCAACCTCTGGAGGTGCCTCTGAGATCATGGCTAGATCGCCCCATTTGCCCCGTGATAGTAGTAGCCATTGAAGTAGTTTGTCGGCTAGCGGGCAACAGTGCTACAGAAGCGGCGCGCACGTAGCAGCGACGTGATGGCTGTCTATTTACGGGAGTGTGCCATGCCAGGCGAGGAGAGATTCAAAACGTTCCTGGATGGAATACAAAGGTGCGAGAAATCTAGCTAATACTTCCCTGAACAATAGATAGGCATACACTGTTATCACTGCTTTGAGACTAATTTCTAGAAAGCACCCCAAACATAGTCGTACTCATCGCCAATACTACACTCTACATTCAGTCCTAATCCACACGTGACAAGCTTCTTCAAATTCTCCTTGCTCTACCACAGACAATTAATTATTTTACGTTTATCGGGTCTTGGTAAGTTCCAAACTGGTACAAGAACACCATGAAGATGTACCGTGGAACATAGTACGTCTCCCAAAACTGCACCACTGTGCGCACACATCATTATATATGTACACATACTTCAGTCGTAGTAGATGATCCAACCACCTCTGGAGAGAAAACCCTGGCGTTCGGGTAATTGATGTCCAATACAGATGTATGGCCGGGACTGGTCATTCTTGGTAGAACGATAGCGCTCCCACAACACGCTTTTTGTGCTTGCTCTCCTTGTTCTGGCTTCTTGTTGCTGGTGTTCTTTGGGCTGTCTTACGTATGCAAGGGCCAAGTTTGCCCACTTAGTTAAATGATAGGGATAAAACCTTGTCATGTATATGTATGCATGGCAGGAAATTGAGTTGTAGAAAAATGCCTGGCTGGCTAACTGCACAGTACCCTGTATACTGCACACCAAGCTGTGACTTCAGACCATGATCATGCATGATTGAACACTATTAGTTTGTTTTCACATTGCGTACATTGACTACACCGCCACTGCCACCGTTGTGCTCTTTGGCCGACCGCAAACATTTCCCACATCAGCAAGAGGTTCCTTCTGTGCACTGAACTAATTGAATTAACTATCAGAAGGAATTACTTCAAGTACTTGTTATTATAAATCCTTCTGACAGCTGTTTCGGTCATTGAAACCTCCTCGGAGAAGGTTGAGTTGCTGA